TTATAGAAGAAAAACGAATCATTGCGACTTCTCGAATTCCGCGCTTCGAAACGTCTCATTTTCCCGCCAAAACCGACACGACTCTTCAGTTCCTACAAGCGAAAAGACCATAATATCCTTGTCAAAAACATCAGAGAAGGGAAGCACATACAGGAATCAAGAATCTAGCTTCGCCGACCTCGGTCATCAACCGCTCCAACTTCAAATCGGCAAAAGTCAGTCAGGTTCATTTACCGAACTGGGGGGGGACATACTGTTGGTGGTACACTCCGCTACCCGGTTTGGACCGGTTAAAGACCGAGACCGGCCTAATTGATCCTGGTTTACGATAGTCTTAGCCGAAATAGGCTTGACCTGATAGCACGGCCCACTAGGAGACAGACCCAGCGACAAGAGGCGGTGAGAGTCGACGGAGAAGCCCTAAATCTTCTCCTCGTTAATGTACTATAAATAGAGGGTTCGTTACTGTAGAAGGGATCTTTTTCGGACCCGGAGACATAGAGACCTCAATATTATTGTATTCAATTCGTCGAGAGATCTCCGAACTGTACGAACTGTAAATTTATAACTTAATTAAATAAAATCAGTTTTCCGAATTCGAATTACCGAACCGACCTAAATAGTTGAGAACCTTAATCAACAAAGACTTGCTAGTTCACATATATTCACTCCTAGATAGACATTGGATTAAAAAAGGTGTCATCTAAACCGTTAAATTAAGGTTCTTTTTTCCTTTTTTTGGTCAACGTTTTTTTTCTTCATATTTATTGCAAATGTTAAGAAGTTTAAACCCTGATTTCTCTTTTCGGAGCTGTTGTTCATCATCTAGACCGCGATACTGATGCAAATCGTCTTGCCACAGCATTTTGCGTGTTTGGCCATATAACAGAGTATACTATTGTTGTTTTTGTTTCTGTTATGTAAATCTTTTTGCTTTCCGACATGTCACAGGAAAATATTTTTGCTTTCAGATCATTTACAATCCCATAACAGGAAAATCGAATTGACATGGTTTTGTTAAGTTCAAGGAGAAGAGTTCTATGATAGATGCTGTTTTGATGATGGAAGGCATTGAGATTGATGATTGCATCCACTTGGAATAGCATCACAGAGATAATCGTGGTTCTCCATTCTTGACTGTGGAAGAGGCTCCTGGAGGCAAGACCCTGTACTTCTGAAGCGTCTTGCCTATTCGCCAAGTTTATAAATGATAAGTTTGAGATGGCTTCCAAGAAAATATTAAAACTATATCTTTTGTTAAACACTTAAACCTATATTCTTGTTAAGTCAGAATGTGATCACATGTAGCGTAAAGTATATATATAGTAAAATGTATATATATATATATATATATATATATATATATATATAATCCAAAAGCGTTGGCCATGTCTTGCCCGTTCGCCGAGTTTATAAAACAGTTTGAGATAGCTTCCAAGAAAATTATAAAGGATTTTGATATAAACCAAGTATTGAATAGCTAATTTGTAATGGCTATCCATAAAAATCATAACAACGGGTTAGAATATGCCAATTTGTTTTGCTCCAAGATCATCTTCACATCTCTGAACCAAGATTACATTTAACAGCTTCTTAGCTATAAGACCAACAAGCTGCATGCTCAAAATGTAGATGTAGGAATTATCCTTCACCTGCAAGTTCATGAATGTCTAGACTTAGACTTAGATCGAGCTTTGTCGAACTGTTACCGTTTGATGATACTTGGGATGGTTTCATTCAGGCCTTAAGAGGATGTCTAAAGATGAGAATCCATCATTCAAAAAGCCCGTAATCAATCACAGAAACAAACATACATACCTGAAAGAAACCATCCCAAGTATCATCAACGCTAACAGTTCGACAAAGCTCGATCACACAAACTATCAACTATATATACTTCTGGAAAACCCAGAGCTGAGCGGAGGGTTCGGTCTTCTTGATGTTCTTGCACTTGAAGACAGTGAGGAAGCGAATAGGTTGAAAGCAATATGTTTATGCTGATGGAGAGCTCTGACAATAGAACATTTAGCAAAGATCTCTCGGACAACAGCTATCTATAAATATTATTATTTTTCTAAAAAAGGAAAAAAATCTGAGTAGGTTAAAAAGGAAAAAAATTTGAATAGGTTAAAAAAGAAAAAAAAATCTGAGTAGGTTGGGAAAGTTCATTTCTTAACGACTCTACCATAGTCCCCATCGTGTGAAAGCGAAGACCTCATAAATTTATAACACGTGTCAATACATGAATGGTATGTTATCTGTATTAAAAAGAGCCTAAGGTTGTCTCTGCCTGATAGGGTTCTTAAGAAAACAATCAGAAACACTCATTTCGCCATTACAGATCTAAAACTTTTGCTTCTCTCTTCCCTTTTTCTCCCTCTATCTCTCTTTGTCTCTGTTTTCTTTTGGAGAGAGATTATGATAGAGTCACTATCGGGCTCGTATTCGATTGATGCAGGTCGGGAATCGATTGGCTAACACGACCACATGACCTTTTCCTTGTTGGTTTGTAAGTAGTCATTGGATCCCGACTGCATCAACTGAATCGGAGCCTCGCCGGTGAAAAAGAAATAATCCAAATCCAATCAGATCTGGAAGAAATGTATTCTTTTCGGTCTTCATATTCTTTGTTTTTTTTTTAATGTGTAATTTGCTTTAGATAAAACCTAGAAAGAAAGGGAACAAAAGGTTTTTTTTTTAATTAAATCTTTTGCTGTTGTTAGGCTATTGGGGTTGTCCGATTTGAATGATGATTTCACCCTTTTTAATCATCTGCGAATTTTTGAATCATTTTCAATCTTTGTGTTTGTTTCCCAAATGTGGGGACTCTTGGTTTTAGTTGTAATTATAAAGTCAACTGATATTATTCAGCCCATGTTTTGAAACATTTAAGAATATGATAGATGCAAGAACATTTGAATTCAAGATGAATGTGATTAATTCTCTTTTCAATCTGTTCTAACAGTTAATTCTTAACAGTCCCATTTAAGATATGAATTTTAAGGGTAGATATGACGATGAGGAGCTCTGCTTTTGAGAACTATTAGGGTTTATGATTGGTTTTACTATGGATAGGGTTAGACGATATAATCAAAATGACGGACCTGTTTTGATTAGTTAAAGGAAATAGTCACCTATTATCAAAAAAATAGTACATGAATATTTCTAAATGTGCGTTGCTTGAAAGATACGAAACGATGTAATATATATATTTTCATATAGGTGTATTTGCCATAAATTTCAGGTATGAACTAGAGGTCAAGCCTGAACTTCTTATTGTGTATAATCGGATCTCAGTTCAAGTAAGGAGGAGGCCAAATTTTATGTATTAATAATACGAGCAAAGATAACTGGAGTACATATATAAATTATTGATAATGTATTAGTCATAGAGATATACAGTTATACAGATTATCCTGGTTCTTTCAATTTTTTTTTTTCTAACTCCCATAAAATTACTGAATATAAAAATTGAAATTTAAAAAAAAAATTGGAGAAAATAGCATTTTTAACTTTCAAAATTGAATAAACTAACACTTTAAACCTCGGCAGAATTACACTAACACTTTAAACCTCGGCAGAATTACACTAACACTTTAAACCTTCAAACATATTATATTTAAAGTGTTAATATAATATGTTTGAGGGTTTAAAGTGTTAGTGTAATTTTTCTGAGGTTTAAAGTGATAGTTTTTTCAACTTTGAAAGTTAAAAATGTGATTTTCTCATTTTTTTGTGTGGCTTGGAATAAGATAACTGATACAAAGAGACTGGGTATTCCTCAGCATTAGGGATCTAAGCAATTTTAACATAGCTTTCATAGGCTCATAGCTAAACAAAAGCTGGAGAATTTTCCAAAACACCAACTCTCTTGTAGCTAAGTTGTATAAAGCCAAGGTACTTTCAGAAGTCTGATCTGCTGAAAGAAAAAGATAGGGTGGAGACCTAGCCATGTATGGAAAGGCATATTGCCATCAAAAGGAGTTGGTGCTATGCTTAATCTTGAATTTAGAGTCAAGGATTTAATATGTCCTCGAACAAATAAATGGGATGATACAAAGCTGATGCACCTAGTAGATCAAGTAGATTTACACTTTAACTAATCAAGAATTATATTATTTGTACTTAGACTCTGTTTCATGGATTCCCACAAAAGATGGCACCTATTAAGTGGAATTTTTGCTATCAACTATTGCGAAAAAAAATCACGTCATCATATCAGAATGAGCAACAGAATCTGGTGGAGACTAATACTGAAACTCGGTTTTTTCAGCGGATTGGAAGTTAAAATGCACTTAAAATTAAGCACTTTTTTTTGGAGAGTAATTCATAATGACCTTTCGATAACAGACACTTTAGAAAAGGAGGATCAATGTGGATATCTGCTGCATTTATGTGGAGAAGAGCCAGAGAGCATGAATCACATAATCTTTCAATGCAGAGTTAGCTCAGAAATCTAGCAGTTGGCATCAATCTGATTTTATTAAGGAGACTAATTTTTTTATATAGGATGAGGCTCCAATAATGAGTAAGCATTTTTTCAAAACATTGGATAGGACTTTGTGTGATATACTAAAATGTGAAAAAGTTTTTGGTGATAGGTGATGATGTTAGAAGCAAAAGCTTCTTCTCTTAAAGAATACAACAAGTGTTTGCTTGTTCCTTGTATTCTTAGATGAAATCGATAAAGGGAGAAAACAGAGTAAGAGAGAAAACTGATTATCATAAATAAATTCTGATAAAACTGTTTTGAAAGAGAATCTGAAACACACACGCACCACTGCTATTCTCTGACATTACAACAACAATTTATATACACATCAACAGACATGAAAGTCAAGAGTTACATCTCTTCTTTCTTGTGGCTCTTAATTAAATAACTGTTTTACTTAACTGACATGACTCGAACACACACCGTAACACACATAATTATTACTAAAGTCAATTATAAACTAACACTCCTCCTTAATTGAGTTTTGGTCTTACTTCAAGCTTCCTTCTTAGTTCTCTAATGGATCAACATTCAAGTCAATCACATCAACCCTTTGCTCCATCTTTCCCCGTGAAACTGCGGTTTCTTCTTCACTCACAAGTAAAGCACTTGCTTCTAAGTTACTCCATCTGAGTGGAAAACTCTTATGCTTCATCTTAATGTTCAGAATCCTCCTCCCTTGAGGATCGTTGATGAGGCATCTATTGTCTTCAAATAAGACTCCATATCCATTTGATATCATTTGAGATACACTCAATAGATTTCTTGCTAAACCCGGCTCTAGACACACCTCTTTGATGGTCCTCTCTCCTTGGCTTGTCATCACTTGGATGTTTTCTTTTCCTGCCGTCATTACACGCTGACTATTTCTCACTTTGATCGGAACCTTTATGCTTTGATCAAGAGTGATGAAGTATTTAACTTCCTTGGTCATATGGTTAGTGCATCCGCTGTCAACTAACCACGTTTCATTATCTATTTTTGTTGATACTTCTTCTTCCACCGCACTAAACAGCATGTGATCCTCAACATCTGTTTCTTTTAGACTTAGATCTGCTCTCTTGGCTTTTCTAAGTTTGCAGTTCTTTGCAAAATGTCCCGGCTTGTTATATACGAAACACCTTCTCTCATTGTTTACAACCTTTTGTGAAGAGACACCTTGGTTCTTCTTTTGCTTGAACCAACATTTGCTTTCATTGTGATTGTTACGTTTACAAACTCCACACCATTTCTCGGGCTTCTTGTCCTCACGTTTCTTTTCTCCATAGAATGCTCCTTCATTCGAACTCTCATATCGTGAAGCAGCACGACTTTCATGGGCTTGAAGAGTACTGATCAACTCTAACACGGCCAAAGTTTGCAAATCCTTTGTTTGCTCCATCACAGCAACGATACTATCAAACTTTTCAGGAAGAGAGATGAGTATCTTTTGAACGATTTGATAATCTGTTTTCTATTCTCCATGGACTCTCAATTGATTTCCCAAATCAATTAGTTTTCCCGTGAAAACCTTGATGTTATCACCGTCATTCACCTTCAAATTTTTATACTCTCTTCTCAGCGACTGGAGTTTGATTAATCAAACTTGAGGCAATCCTTGAAATTCGTTTGGCAGAGAATCTCAAGCCTCCTTTGATGTTTGTGCTGATGCTATCATCCCATGATTTTAGACTTCCCGAACCATAGAACGCTGGGAACCTATTCCCACGTCTCCTCTCAGAACCAGACAGCCACTCAGAGTCACGATCTCGCCTTACCGGTGGTCTCGGCATTCTGCACTGCTCATCAGATAAAGGTGGTTTTGAAAATTGTTGTCATCTTGATACGCCAGAAATTGTATTTTTTATCCCCATCAAAAATGGAAAATCACTTCCGATGTTCCTTCCATACTCTGTTTTTGCTTGATTGTGCTTCAATTGGCCCCTTGAATCAGTAGGGCTCTTGTAACACCTCCGACCTGAGTCTATTCATGACTTAGATCAAGCCGGAATCGTTACAATGCGGAGACGGACACAGACCGGCCCGAGCATCCCATACTATTCGAGCTACTCCACGTTCGAGACCGTTCCTCGAGCTTACAGCCTAAGACTTTTCAACCCGTACTGCGAACCCAAGTTGTTTCTACCCGGACAAGGTCTAGTATCATTAAGACGAGATTTTTGTGAGAAAATACTTCTTTATTACATATTGAAAATATCTTTACAAAACCATGTTCCAATACATAATATTCGATGCATCTTATCACAAAACCACGCTTAATGTATATACATATATAGATCTTGCAAGAACACTTCTATCTACTCTGGCTCGTCTAGTGTCTGTTGCCTTCCCTCTATTTTTCCGGTTTTTACGGCTACCTGCGACATATAAAGAGTCGTGAGTATTCTCAATACTCAGTGAGTCCAGACTCTAACACACAATCCACCAAAATCTCGCTTAACACACATAGCCGAAGCTCACACAACAAGGAAAGCAATAAACAAATCAAGCCAAGCATTCACAATTTACACACAATCACCATACAATCAATTCAAAGTGGAAGCTATTCACCAACAAGTCTAAGATCACTACTCTGAGTGCATTTACAGATTTAAACAACACCATGCAAGGGCCCCCTAAACCTGCCATGTTCCACCCTAAACATGCACCAGTTCGACACCTTTTCCGTGTAAACCACCTCACACACTTTGATCACCACACATGATCACAAAGCGGGTTCACGTTCCGACCATATACATGGTCTACTGACCAGTCGGGCCACACCGTCGTGCACTCGACCAAGGGCGCGACCCCAAGTTTCTCCTCGAGTTTCACCATTGGGCTGTGTGTAGACCGAGGAATTCCTCCCTGAATTCACTCTGGCCTTAACTCTACATGCAACCTACATGCATCACACAAACACTTGAGGGCCTTTCCCATTTTTCACACAAGCCTCACGGGCCTCTCCCGTGGCCTGCCCTTCCGGGACTGCTCACTGAGCTCATCGGTTCTCAATCGCTTCTTGCTCCCTTTTGTCCTATCCGGACTTACCCTAAGCTCACCGGTTACCTACAGGGTGTGGCTTCAGCCTTTCGTGACTTATCACTGATCTCATCGGTTCTCAACCGCTTCTTGCTCCCATTTGCCCTACCTGGACTTATCCTAAGCTCACCAGTTACCTACCGGGTGTTGCTTTAGCCTTTCGGGACTTATCACACACCAAGCTCAACGGTTACGTACCGTATATTGTTCATCTCTACCCTTCCGAGACTTATACTTTTCTCGGCTCAACGGATCCCCCGTCTCTTGCCTACTTGTCCTTCCTCCGGACTTACTTTAAGCTCACCGGTCGCGTGTTGGGTATTGCCTCTGTCGTACGAGACTTACTTCTTTCCCGGCTCAACGGTTACACCGTCTCTCACCTTACTTGCCCTACTGGGACTTACCTCACTACGGCTTCACTCTCTGTCTATCGTTATACACCTCCGGCTCACTGTTATCCACAACGGCTTGCCACCACCACCATCCCGACGCACCTACGGATACACACCCCACGGCTGTATCTGAGAGTTCTCTTGAACACTGAACCGCGTCTCTAACCTCTCGGATTAAAGCTGCATGCAACCCTTATACCTGCACCAATCTCGATGCACTACAGGGAGAATTTCACTAAGAAACTCACAAAGGGACTCACTGTGATTTTCTGATGCGCTAAGTCGGATTCTCCGAGCCTAAATCCTGCCTGTGCACCTAACCACGATCCGCCATCACGATCTACTTCACACACTCTTAAACTTTCTCTCTCTAAACTCACACAGAAACGTTTTCTAAAGAGAAGCAGAGTTTTTCTCGTAATGAACTTTCTTAAGGGGGTGAAGTCCTATATAAAGCCGATGTCCTTGCCATGCAACCATACATGTGTCGCCCCAAACATCCCATCAGCGCATGTAATGGTCCATCTCGCCACCTCGCGGATCTACAGCCTTTCGTTCAGTCCTAGGTCGGTTACAACAGCCCTTGTTCCCCACTTGTTGGTTGATGTCATTTTGGATTCAAACCGAACTAGAAGAAATCTAGTCAAAAGAAGAGTTGTTGGAACAGTTGAAGGTATGGAGAAGAGGAAGCTATATTTAGCCTTTTGTTATGCCAATTTGAATAGTGCTGTAGGTCTTAGCTACTAGAAAAGTTGTTATTTCTTTTTGTATAAGTCCAAGTTATCGGTCTTGTAAGACATTATCGAGCAATATGAAATGAGGAAGAAAATGTGTTCAAGTTATTCTCTCTCTCTCTCGTTTTCTCTAAAACAAAGAAACAATGTTCATCATTAAAACAGAACACTCTGTTTTAAGAAGAACAACAACATGGTATCAGAGCTCATGATGATTCATGGAGACATCTTGAACAAAACAAAGATGGTGAGTCAAGAAGATTTGCCGATGAAGAAGGCCAAGGTCAGAGAAACCAAGGCAACAGTACAAGAAAGTAACAAGAACGAGAAGTTGGAGAAAAAGATGAAGATGGTGAATCAAGGAGATTCAGCAATGGAGAAAGCCAAGGTCAAAGTAACTGAGGCAACAGTACAAGATTATAACAAGAACAAGAAAGAAGAAGAAAATCATGTGTTCACAGCAAGACAAGAAGGTGACGAAGCAAACAAGGAAGATGTTTTGCTCATAGATAGTGGGTGCACAAATCATATAACACCAAACAAGAAAGCTTTTGTCAACCTCAACACAAGTATAAGAGTTCCCATAAAAGTCGGAAATGGAGCTGTACTAATATCAGAAGGCAAAGGAGATACTGAGGTCATAACCAAGAAAGGGAAAAGAATCATAAGAGATGTGTTTTTAGTTCCCAAACTTGGGAAGAACCTTCTTAGTGTTCCACAGATGATAACTAATGGATACAAGGTTACTTTTGAAGAAAGCAAATGCATCATACATGACAGTGCTGGAAGAAAAATAGGAGTGATCCCAATGGTAAACAAGAGTTTCCATATCAGATAGAATTCCAAAGAAGAAACCGCCATGGTAGCTAAGGAGAGTATTGCAGAACTATGGCACAAGCGTCTTGGACACATTGGCTACACGAACCTGAACAATCTTCAGTCAAAGGAAATGGTCACAGGTCTACCTAAGTTCAAAGCTACTCAAAGAGGGTGTGAGAGCTGCATCATTGGCAAACATACTCGTGACTCATTCCTAAAAGAGTCAGAGTCAAGAGCAACTGAGAAACTAGAACTGATACACAGCGACTTATGCGGTCCAATGCAGAATACCTCTTTCAGTGGCAGCAGGTATTCCTCACCTTTATAGACGATGCTACCAGAATGATATGGGTCTATTTTCTAAAAGCTAAGTCTGATGTCCTCAAAACCTTCAAAAGATTCAAGAATCTAGTTGAAAACCAAGCTAACTGTAGAATCAAGAAGCTTAGAACAGATCGAGGCTCAGAGTATCTATCAGGAGAATTCACAAAGTTTTTGGAAGAAAATGGCATTGAGAGACAGCTTACAGCGGCTTATTCTCCACAACAAAATGGAGTCTCAGAAAGACGAAACAGAAGTCTAGTGAAAATGGCTCGAGCTATGATCAAAGCTAAAGATCTACCATTAACATTTTGGGCAGAAGCTGTTTACAATGCAGCTTATGTTCAAAACAGAACATCAACTCGAGCATTCAAAAACAAAACACCTCTTGAAGCTTGGAATGGTACAAAACCGTCACTAGGACACATGAGAGTGTTTGGCTGTCTGTGCTATGTTCATATTCCAGATGAGAAGAGAAGAAAGTGGGATGATAAGTCAAAGAGAGCAGTGTTTGTGGGATACAGCTCTCAAACAAAAGGGTATAGAATATATATGCTGGAAGAAAACAGAGTTGAAATCTCTAGAGACATCATCTTCAATGAAGACAGCAAGTGGGATTGGAACAAGAAGGAAGTAGTCAAGGACTACAGTGTAATCATCGAGACAAATTCAGAAGAAGGAAGTTCAGAGACAAGCGAGACAGAGATGATAAATGATAATGCTGGAGAAGGAGGATCTTCTCCAAACTATGAACAGATCAGTCCTGATGAATGCTTAAGTAGACTGAATAAGAGAACTCGATCTCTAGCTGATGTTATGCTCACAGCCCCATATGCAGATATAGAGTACTCTGTAGTAATGGAAGGCTGCTACAGTGGTCTAGAAGAACCTGCATTGTTCGAAGACGCCGCTAAACACACTGAATGGAATGAAGCTATGAAAGAAGAGATACAGATGATAGAAAAAAATGAGACATGGGAACTTGTTCAAAGACCTCCTGACAAGAATGTAGTTGGTGTAAACTGGATATACAGGCTGAAAACGGATGCAAATGGGAAGGTTGTCAGACACAAAGCTAGACTTCTGGCAAGGGGTTTCACACAGCAATATGGCGTCGACTCTTGGAGACTTTTGGTCCAGTTTCAAGACAAGAAACCATAAGATTACTTCTTGCCGTAACAGCTCAAAGGAGATGGAAACTGTTTCAACTTGATGTCAAATCTGCTTTTCTAAATGGGAAACTAGAGGAAAAATCTATGCTGAGCAACCTCCAGGCTTTGAAAGAAGGGGAAAGGAAGATCAGGTTCTTTTACTACACAAAGCTCTCTACGGATTAAAATAGGCTCCAAGAGCTTGGTATAGCAGAATCGATGAATTCTTTCAAAAGGAAAACTTCAAGAGGAGTGACAATGATCACGCATTGTACACAAAAGAAACTCAAGGGAAGCTTTTAGTCGTCTGCATCTATGTAGATGATCTTATTGTTACTGGTGATGATGAGAACTTGGTGGAAGAATTCAAGAGAGCAATGAAAGATGAGTTCGAAATGTCAGATTTGGGGTTATTGAACTACTTCCTTGGTATGGAGATTGTGCAAAATCAAGAGGGCATATTTTTGTCTCAAGAGTGCTATGCGAAGAAGCTGCTGAAAAAGTTTAACATGGAGGAATGTAAGATCATGTCTACTCCCTTGTTACCTCAAAGAAAGAATGCAGAGGAAGAAAAAGAAGAGCTTGTAGACAGCAGTGTTTACAGAAGTCTAGTGGGAGGCTTCTTATATCTTACAGCCACCAGACCAGATTTAATTTTCTCTGCCTCATACTTGTCCAGGTATCTAAAAGAACCCAAATCCTCTCACCTTAAAGATGCTAAAAGAGTGCTTAGATACATCAGGAGTACAACAGATATGAGATTGATGTTTACTTCGGTAAGAGAACCAAAACTCTGAGGATATTCAGACAGTGATTGGGGAGGTTGCAGAGAAGATTTAAAATCAACAACTGGGTACTGTTATAGCATTGGATCGGCAGTATTTACTTGGCAAACCAGCAAGCAAGATACCGTAGCTCAGTCTACAGCAGAGGCTGAGTACATGGCTTTGTGTGCTGCTGCAAATCAAGCAACTTGGTTAAAGCGGCTACTCATGGATTTAGGGATCATCACTCAAGTGGAAGTTCCAATATTCAGCGATAGTCAATCAGCCATTGCCATTGGAAAGAATCCAGTTCAACACCGTAGAACCAAACACATTCAAATAAAATATCATGTGGTAAGAGATTATGTGAAGAATGGTGAGGTTCAATTGATGTACTGCAAAGGAGAGGATCAAGTAGCTGACATCTTCATTAAGGCTTTGGGAGGTCATAACTTTGACAGGTTTCGCAACAAGCTCGGTTTGATTCACAAAATGGCAAGTGAGAGTGTTGGTTAATGTCATTTTGGATTCAAACCGAACTAGAAGAAATCTAGTCAAAAGAAGAGTTGTTGGAACAGTTGAAGGTATGGAGAAGAGGAAGCTATATTTAGCCTTTTGTTATGACAAGTTGAATATTGCTGTAGGTCTTAGCTACTAGAAAAGTTGTTATTTCTTTTTGTATAAGTCCAAGTTATCTGTCTTGTAAGACATTATCGAGCAATATGAAATGAAGAAGAAAATGTGTTCAAGTTATTCTCTCTCTCTCTCTTTTTCTCTAAAACAAAGAAACAATGTTCATCATTAAAACATAACACTCTGTTTTAAGAAGAAGAACAACACCACTAAGTCTGCTGTGCCCTGTCCCATCAGTACATGCAATGGTCCAACGTGACACCTCACAGATCTACAGCAGCCTTTGTTCAGGCCTAGGTCGGCTGACGCAGCTTTTGTTCTCCACTACATTCACTTTGTCTCCATATGTCAGCTCGGAACTGTTCACGGTACTGTTCACGATACTGTTCACGGTCAGGAATCTTCCCAGTGTGCTGCACAGTTTTCTTTCTTCTTTTCTTGGTTAGAAATCTTCTGATATTCCTTTTCAAATCTCCATACTTATTTTGACACTTAGTCATTTTTCTCCGTTTTTCGGCTAATACTCGGCCAAATCCTTCACCATCGAACCATTTTGAAATTTCCCCGAGCTTTTCTTCATCTGCTTCGACCAAAAATTTTCTCTTGGCCTAAGCTTACTTTCGCAGCTCAATTCCCAGTCGATTCCACAAATTTGTTTTTTCCGACCGTTTTAGCTGCAAGTCGGAGTATTACAGCTCTGATACGATGTTGGAAGCAAAAGCTTCTTCTCTCAAAGAATACAACAAGTGTTTGCTTGTTCCTTGTATTCTTAGATGAAATCGATAAAGGGAAAAAACAGAGTAAGAGAGAAAACTGATTATCAGAAATAGATTCTGATAACACTGTTTTGACAGAGAATATGAAACACACACGCACCACTGCTATTTTCTGACATTACAACAACAATTTATATACACTTCAACAGACATGAAAGTCAAGAATTGCATACCTTCTTTCTTTGTGGCTCTTAATTAAATAACTGCTCTTACTTAACCGACATGACTCTAACACACACCGTAACACACATAATTATTACTAAACTCAATTATAAACTAACAGATTATGTTTGGTGGGGATGTTGGACAGAGTTTGCTGGTTATTGTGGGTGGTAATAGATCCGAGACTGCTATGGCGACTTGAAATTCATCAATTTTGTGGTTTAGCTGCACTGTGTTGGAACTTAGAACAAATATGAGGCTTCTGCGTGGGGCCAATGCTGATGATGTTCGTGAAATGGAGCTTTTTCTATAAGTTGATTTTGGATATTGGTAAAAGAAAGATAAAGGAAATGGAGAAGTTGAAATCGAGGAGCCATAAGATTTGTTGATAGTTGAGTTTGAAAATCCTATCCAATCTATAGTAACAGAGATATATGGTCGATCATATTCGACCAAGCCTAAACCTAAGTCTTTTAAGAAAGAGCTATATTGATTCCTGGAATAGTGACTTTGATATGATTAATGACTTTATGTTGTCTGGTGTTTTTTAACGTGTTAGCTTTTTTATATATGATTTTTTTTTTCTAAGAGGAGCACACATACTTTTGTTCCGATAATATTGATACGTCGGATACAAGCAAAATTGACAAGACGGTTTACACTCAGGAATAACTTAATAGCACTAAGTTTTCTGAGTTGCCAAATCATAGTTTGAGAATGTTATGTTAATTCGAAACATAGATCCAAAAGGTAGATTGTGCAATGGCACACGGTTGCTTGTAATTACTCGGTTGGCTCCACATGTAATCGAAGTTAGCCTCATTATGGATGATAAGATCGGTCAAAAGATGTGAATTCATAGGATTTTTATTTCTCTACCCGAATTGAGATTTTCTTTTCGTATGAGACGTCGGCAGTTTCTTATTGCCCCCGATTATGCGATATTGCGATGACAAATAGATAAAAGCCAAAGACAAACTTTTAAAAAGGTGAGTTTGTTTCCTCCAAGGCATGTCTTCTTGCATGGTCAATTATATGTTACTGAATCAAGGGTTATGTCAAGAAACGGGTTAAAGATTTTGATTATCCATAATAAGGTAAGGCACAAAAGAGGATAATAAATTTTGTGTATAAAGAAAGCACTTCAGAAAATTTATAGATGTTAAATTACGTAGAAACATACTTAATTCTTAGTAGATCGCAAATAGCCTCTTCACTCTATTGTTTTTAGTTTCTTAGGATGTCAAATTCTATACTTTCAAATACTCAGTTTTTTGTTATTTTTAGACGTTTTTTATAGTATATTATTGGAAAGGCTATATGCACTTGATGGTAGCAAATTTTATCATCTTTATTTATTCTTCATTCATTTGGTTTCGCCGCCCATCTAGGGGAAAGCGGATTATCCCTACTTCAACTGGCACAAATGATACCAGTTAATATCCGCACTTTTAAATTATGCTAAAACATATCTCAAGTATATAAAATTTGAATTTTTGTACCCAGGCTCAATATTTTTTTGGTGGATTCATGCATTGACTTAATCAAACCCATAAATCTGTTAATAGAGATGAGTCAACTGCTATGGTAGAGTCCCCATTAGACCGTATAACTAAATGATGTCGTTCTATGTCGAAAAGTCATGCTCGTTCAGACTCAAACCATGCACAAGACCGAATAGACAAGCCTGAAACCACTAGACTAGATGTAATAACTGATGTTATATCGCAAAATTAACTAATACGACATCATATTGGTTAAGTCGCTATTATTAAGAAAAGGGTCTGGAAATCCAGAAATCTTCTTGTCCGAATGAAAGAGTATATCCGGATTTTTTGTAGTTCTGGATGTTCTTATCAAAGACAAATTTCCACACACACAAGCTTTGGGCATACCTCTATCTCCTTCGGGTACACCACAAGTCATTTACTGGGTAAACCTCACAAACTGAAATTGGAAAAACTTCTTTTTCACAAGTTAATTCACATAACCAAACCTGCCTGCATTTTCCGAGGAGGCTTTTTGATTCGATGAGGTAGCCATTTTCTTAGGCTTTCTTTGGTGACCAAAACCCTAGCTAAGAGTTTTCTTCCCCAAGTTTTCTGTCTGAAGTCACCAGACTCAACGAAGAAGAAGACCTTTATGATGAAAACAATGTCTTGTTAGTTTTTTTTTGAATCTCAAATTTCTAAACGTAGTTTTTTTTAATCTCCCGTCAACTCAAAACGGCATCATATAAGAATAATAGCCAACGAGACTCCACTGTAGCACGAGACTCATCTTCGTTAATGGAGTTAGAGGTTTGAATAACGCCTCGGAGTCAATGCATGAATCCGGCAAAAAACAAAAGGGGTTTGGGTATAAAATTCAAATTTTAAATAGTTTGAGTTTGTTTTAGCACAGTTTAAAGGTGCAGATACTAATTGGTACTATTTGTGCCAGTTGAGAGGTAGGGTACGCCTAGTTTCAATATAAATACATTCTTATGAGAGACGTTGAATTATTAAGGGCTCATCTAAACCGTTAGATGATTTTTTGTTCCTATATTATTCTGGTGATGTCAGGAATCTCCAAAAACCAGTCCTATATATTATTGCGAATGTTAAGACGTTAAAACCCTAATTTTTTCGGTGCTGACGCTTTCTTCGTTAGGGAGATCAGACGAGAAACCAAAAGAGAAACAATGAAGTTTACCGATCTTCCACGAGAATTGGAATCTGAAATTCTTTCTAGTGTTCCCGCAGGTCTCTAAACCAATTGCGATCTACTTGTAGAAGATGGTACGTTTTATTCAAAGATAAGAGATTCATGGAGGAGAACATGGATAAAGCAGCAGCGCAGGTGATCTCAAAGAACGATTATAGTGTTTATTCAGTTACCATCAATCTCCAAGAAATCGGCAACAACTTTGATCCATCCATTGAGTTTACTGGTAAACTTGACTCAGAACATGTCATGATATCTACTATCTTTCATTGCAACGGTTTTTTATTGTGCACTACCAAAGACAATAGACTCTTCGTTTGGAACCCTTGTACTGGTCAAACCAGATGGATACAACCAAGTGGTAGCAAAACATGGTATGAAAATGACTATGTTCTAGGGTACGAAAGCAACAACAAATCTGGCTATAGCTACAAAATCTTGACCAGCTGTTATGAGGGACGTGATCCTATAGTCGAGGGTAATAATTCTAAGATCCTGGAAATTTATGAACTTAAGTCTGAGTCATGGAGGCGTCTTGATGATGTCCCTCAGAACTGGAGGATAAGAGGTTCTAGCGTGTCTTTAAAGGGAAATCCGTACTGGGTTGCTTGGGATTTTGATACTAATATTTTCTTACTCAGGTTTGATTTCAAAAGGGAGAGATTTGAGCGTCTTTCTCTTCCGTTTCAGTTTTTTTTTTTTTTTGCTAACTTGTAAATATCATATAAAATGAAAGTTGGATCTTACAAAGAGTGATCCCTATACATAGTGCCTTGGCAAAAAAATAAAATAAAAAACAAGGCACCAGATGAAAAGAAAGCACTGAGATTACAAATTAATTTAGCCAAAGTAACATTAGATTTTTAAAACCTTTCTTCTTTCTTCTTGCCGTGATTGAATGGATGACTTGCCTGTCAATTTCTTTGAACAGCGAGTGAGCCGTAGCTAGTTGATTGTTGAATGGCAGGTTGTTTCGCTGCATCTAAACAGCATAGATCGTTGATTGAGCGACTAGCTTGCGGAGAAGCGATGGGGATGAAGATGACGGCCCTCTCAGCCAAACACAAAAGTCCGACCAATCTCTGAAAACAACTGTTGGCAGATGCAATCTCCTTATAATCTCATTCCAAATCTCAACCACGTATTGGCACCAGAGAAACAAATGATCAGGGCTTTCCTGGTTCACATTACAGAGACCACATGTTGTTGTAATATTCAAACCCCAAAAAGCAAGCCTATTCCTCGTTGGCAGTTTATCTAATTGAGTTGTCCACATCATAAAAGCATGCTTCGGAGTGGCCCCTTTGAACCATACCAGATCAAACCAATTCTTCTCCTCTTCACGGGGCCGCAAAACTTCCCAAGTCAACTTTGATGAGTAACCGTATGAAGTTATTCCATCCACAGACCAAGAGAAGATATCGTTGGAGGCAGAAAGCTGTGGAAGAGAAATGGTAGTTAAGTGTTGGTGGAGAGCCATAGCTTCATCAGATCTTGGATTTGCAATTTTCCAACCATTTGCATCAGTTGCGTCAAAGACAGTGGCGTTAAGGGGAATTCTCAGGTTTCTCGGGCCAGATTGCCCCAAGTAATTGATAAGGCTACCAAACGGTGTCCAAGAGTCGAACCAAAAACGTGCAATACGACTGTTGCCCAAGGTGCACTTCACAAATCTATGTGCTAATTCTCTAATCTTCAGCAACAATTCCAATTCCAAGAGTCGTTAATCTGCGCTTCAAGAGCCCAGAAACTACCGCTTTTTATGTGGTGGAATTCGTGCCAAGCAACCCATAAAGATCCATTGTTTGAGAAGAGAAGCCAGATCAATCTCAGATGAGCAGTTGTGTTCCAAGTAGCAAAATCTTTAATTCCAAGGCATCCTTTTTTGGGGAGACATACAGTTTTCCAAGATACCTTGGTTGAGCAATGGTCTTCAATGGCACCTGACCAAAGAAATCTGGAACACAAGGCATTGATTTTTCTGATGCAACTCTTTGGGATCATGAAGGTTGATGTCCAAAAGTTGATCATTCCCGAAATCACAGTGGAGATAAGTTGGACTCTTCCCGCGAAGGATAAAGGTTTGACTGACCAAGCTCTGAATCTTGCAGCAATTTTCTCGATGAGAGGGAAAAATTCCGGGATACGCTGCTTTCTATACATGAGAGGTAGGCCCAAATATCTGATGGAGAATGAACCAGCAGTGAAGCCATAGCTAGCAATAGCATTAGCTTCAAGAGGGTTCAAACCTGCATGGAAAAGATGCGTCTTGTTTCTATTCATTTCCAAACCCGACCATGACGAAAAGTCGTCAAGTGTCTCTGCGATTCCGTGTAATGAAGAACTGCTCCCATCGAAAAAAATCATAACATCATCTGCAAACATTAGATTCGATATTTCCAGCTCAGGGGTGTTAGGATGGTATCGAATGTAGCCACTTGCATATCGAGAATGGAGCAACCTTGAGAAAACCTCCATATAACAAGAACAAACAGATACGGCGATAGCGGGTCCCCTTGCCGCAAACCTCTCGTGCTTCTAAAAAAGCCACCCATTTGACCATTCACAGAAACAGCCAAAACAAAATCCCACCGTACAGAATCAAATGCTTTTCTTAAATCTACTTTAAGCATAGCCCGAGGGGTGGAGAGATTCCTGTTATAACTGTTAACAATTTCTGATGCGAGCAAGACATTTTCACTAAGAGTTCGACCGGGCAAAAACGCTGACTGAGAGTGCGTGATGACCTTTTACAATAGAGCTTTAAGCCTTAAAGCTAAAAGTTTGGATATAACCTTGTAGATGGTATTTAGGCAAGCAATGGGTCTAAAATCAGAAGTGCTTACAGCGTTAGTGATTTTTGGTATGAGGACCAGATTTGTGGCGTTTTACTGCTTCAATAGTTTTCCCGAGGAAAAGAATTCCTCCACTGCACTACTAACTTCGGGACCCACAATACTCCAGCAGTGAGTAAAAAACTCAATAGAGAAGCCATCAGGACCACATGTTTTGTTTTTTGGAAGTGAGAAGAAAGCTTCCTTGATTTCATCTTTAGAAAAAGCTTTTTCCATGAGGCGAGAGTCTTCATCAGAGCAAGAGGTGTTTAACAACAAAGATATGTCACCTTGCGTGAAGAGAGCCGGACTGACTTCACCACCCAATAGGGACGAGAAGGAGTCCAGTCAGTCCACACAGTGGTTTAAGATAGCTTCCTGAGACTCAAATTTCAAAGCCGCAGAGTCCTCAAGGAAATGAATATGGTTAATTGCTTGTCGAACCTTAGCCATACGATGAAAAAAAGCAGAACAGCAATCCCCTTCTCTCAACCAGGTGATTCGGGACCGCTGGCACAAGAAAGATTCCTCCGCTTTTACCAGAATTTGCCACTTCCTGGTTTCCTCAATGACCCTTGCTGCTGTCCCTGAATCAGGCGTAGAAAGCATTTGACTTTGCAAAGCCAAAACTTTAGAATGAGCTTTTTCTCCAAATCCGAGTAGTTTTTATTGTTGAATGATCTGATCTTTCCTTTTAAACCTTTAAGTTTTGTTGCAACACGGAATTGGGCAGAACCCACCACATTCATCGAAAACCAGTGTAACGCAATCATCGGGCAGAACTCACTGTTTTGCAGAAGGAAGTTGTACAATTTGAATGGCTTTGGAAGCTTCTGATTTGCAGTGCTCAGAGTGATAGAGATGCAGGCATGATCCGAGAAGTCAGGGTGGCCAAAAATACCATGAGAGAGAGGGAAAAGTTGATGCCACGATCCATTTACCAAGATCCTGTCCAGCTTTTTGGCGATTGGATTTATAGCCCTCTTGTTCCATCAAGTGAATAGAGTTCCTCTAAAAGTCAAATCAGAGAGAGCAGCATCGGAGAGACAATCCTGGAAATCTCTAGTTTTCCTATCAATGTTCAGAGTCCTAGGGTTTGAATGCTCACTTGGGTTTAAAATTTGGTTGAAGTCTCCAAGTAATGACCACGCTTTACCAACCACATCCTGATGAGATGCTAAACTGAAAATCTCAGCCCATAGCTGCTTCCTCAATGATTCCACGTTAGAAGCATATACAAAAGAAACCACAAAAGTACAGGAATAGCCTGGAAACTTTACTTCACAAGTTATTATCTGGAGAGACTTTGATAAAAATTACTACCTGCACTGACGGATGCCAGACGACCCAGATTTTACCAAGCTCTGAAAATTCATAGTTAGAATCAAAAGACCAGCCCGGAAGTAAGTTGGTGATGAACTTCCTCTCCTTGGGCTGCTTTACATGTGTCTCTAAGAGACTGCCAAATAATGGCTTATTTTTCCTAAACCACTTCTTATATCCAGTACGATGGCTCGCTATATTAAAACCACGTACATTCCAGCAAAAAATGTTGCTACACATAAAAAAGTTATTGGGGTTTGGGACTCTTCCCCCGAGCAAGTTTCCTCTTACTCCTCGTTATTACCTCAGTGAAGGGAGGTTCCTCTATTTCCTCCTCAACTTCATCAGATATCTCTCCTTCCGTTTCAGTTTAGTGATTTGGATTTGGATTTGTCTCTCTCAGTTCTTAGAGATGAGAAACTTTTTGTATTACTCCAGAGGTCTTATAAGGATTCATTAAACACGAAGATATGGGTGACGACAGATACTAGTTAAGATCAATAATGAGGCTAAAGATACCAATAACCAATACTTCTTAATATGGGTGACCGATACTAAGATCAATAATATACCGATCGTGGACAGTTTCTTGATGGACGAGGAGAATAAAAAGGTCGTGTGTTGTCATACAGACACGGATAATAAGACCAAAATTTTTATTATTGGTGGAGACCATAACATACTTGAATGTAGACAAGTTCATGGAAAGATTATCGCAAACGTACTAGATGATTGGAATAGGCAACTTCTCGTCAACTATGTTCCAAGTTTGGTTCGAATTCAGCTAGTGGAGGAAACTGAAGAAGGTTACTAGTCCATTTAAGTTATTTAATTTCTTCAAACGAAATTATTCAAATTCTGAATTGCGGTTATTTTGTTTAGTTAATATTGAGTCTTCTTATAATTTCTTTTGAGATCAGATTTTGTGATCTTACTCAAATACATATTGTTTATGACTGCTTATTCGTCACTTATCTATCCCGGTGAACCTTTCTATCATAATATACAAAAACCAAATGAAGAGACGAAAACAAAAGAGTAGACGGTAAGAGGTTGGTGAAAATATAATCACATAGGTAGAACCTTAATTAATGTAACTACTTATATAGCTGCAACAGAAATATGTAATATGTTCATGACTTATATATACCTTAATCACAAAACTTTTTCTTCTTATTCTTTTTTAGTTGTTAAAATTAGAATCAATACAATACTTTTTACAAAGGGAAGTTTTCACAAGTTTTGCTTAGCCGGGACATCATTAAAGAGAAGGGAATGAGGAATAAGTGAGACGAAATAAAAAGGTACATGAATGATTTCTAAAGGCGCTTTGCTTGTAAGATAAGAAACGATGTAGTGATGTGATATTCTTTTCCTTTTCCCATATAGGTGTATTTGCCATAAATTGCAGGTATGAATCAGAGCTTAAGCCTGAACTTAATTAAATAAATAAAAGATATGTATAAAATTGGATCTCAGTATAAGTAAGGAAGAGGCCAAATTTTATGTATAGATCGATAATACGAGAAAATATAACTGGAGTAGATATACAAATTCTTAGTAATGTATAGATATACATATTTTTATGGTTCTTTAGATTATTCATTTATCTAACTCCCTTAAAATTACTGAATATAGAAATTGAAACTTGAAAAAAAAAAGGGTGGTTTGGAGTAAAATAACTGATACAAAGAGAATGGGTAGGCCTCGCCATTAGGGATCCAACAGATTTTAACATAGCTCTCATAGCTAAACAAAGCTGGAGAATTCTCCAAGACCCC